GAAGACTCAATGAAAAAAATGGCTGAATCAATTATCCAAGTAATAAGTAGGACTAGGTAACCAAGTCTGAGATAAGGATGATGTTTTGGAGATGAAAACTACTAGCTGTAAGAGATGTGATTCTGGTACTGATGAACAGATCATTTCATTCAATAGAATTATTTTATGTTCCTAATACAGGTAATATTTTAAGCCATGGCTTCTAAAGGAGAAGATTCCATACATTTCTCTAACCACAATCATTAGCATCTACAATAGAACATGTCTACATACAATTCTCTGTCAACATTTTTATCAGCAATGCACCTGAAAGTCAATTTCACCAGCCACACTGCACCACAGAAATTCAATAGTTCTTTTTAAGTCAACCATCAAGAACCAGGTTAATGAGATTGAAAATCATGACTCACAGAAGACATTTCACTAAAAATGCAGGGCATACAAAATTCTTATGATTGAATAATATGCAGCATTCACAACCTTCAAAAGATTGTTTTCAACTTATGGGGTTTCTTTTTGGGGAGGAGATGGCAGGAGCATTTGAGGTAACAGGTAGCTGTTGAAGGGAAGCCTCCTGAGCCAGGGTCATTAGCCATACCACTTCAAATGTATAATTTCAAAGGTTTAAAAATGAGACTATCCTCTCACTACAGATAAATCCCCAACAGTTAATTTCTTGTTTATCGCTTGAGAAATCTCTGTACTAAACATGGAAGTGATAAAGCCCTTTAAATGAGCATGTCATAAGTCAAGTGGTTGCTTCAGGAACCTACAGGAAGTCAGACAAAGCAGGCACACATGCAGAGGTAATGTATGGGCATTAAAAGTATAATATTAAAAAAAAGTTAATGGCTGTGAACAATATAGAATGCATGATTATTGAAGAAATCAAATCTGCATTTAGATACAGATGAAGCGATCCCCTTCTGTCTTAGTTTCCCAAATTCCTGTCTCTTTGCAAAGAACTTTTTAAATTTAGGCTTTTTAAAACACAAAATTAAAAAAAAAAAAAAAACAAACCACATTTTTGACACTGAGACTGCTTCTCAGTTCTAGCAAGAAAGTGGTGTAGAAGCCAGATACACAACTTCAAACATAATCACCAGGTTTTTTTGCACACAACATGTTTGTCTTTTCTGTAAATACAGAATCAGTTTAAGAAAACTGTTGATGACAGTACACTAAGAAAATAGAAATTAAAAAGGGAAAGTAATTACAGAAAGAGACATGGTATGTTCATTTAATTTATATTACATATCCCTTTAGCCACAACAATTAATTCTGTTTGAAAACTGACAACACTCACTCATTTTAATTCATGTGGAAGTTAAGATCAACTGTCTTGTAGCAGGAAGGGCAAGGGCACACCCACCCTTTGCTCTCATTGCACAACACTTCTGTGGTTGCAGGAAACTATTTGAATGTGCTTAAGCACAACAGCAGCTTCCTACAGCAGTGAAATATACATATATTCCCTCTGTGACCCTCCCAGCGCAGAAAGGGCCTGACAGAGAACTAAAAATTGATTTTAAAACTGAATAAAGGTGGGGAAAATACAATGGAAGTTCTAAGGGGGAAGAACTCAGAATGGAGAGCTCTTCAAGTTTTATGTTGGATGACTCTTCAGACAGGTGTCTCCCTGAACAGAAGCGAAGACTTCAACACAGCTTCCTCAGTGCCGTGCACTTGTGTTGACTGAGTCCATCATGAATACCACACTGCCTTCTTCCATCCCCAAAAAAAAACCCATCTCATGAGCAGTAAATTCAGCTTCTTTCCCCACAAAAGTCAGACTGGTGGCAATGATTAGCATTTCTCCTCTTGCAATACTAGCTTTAGAGACAGTTAGTTTTGCCTTGCTTGGACAGCTGTGTATTTTGTATGTACCTCCTCAAGTGCTTCAGACCATACCAGGATCTGATCTGAAGGCCATATAGTCAGTGTGAGTTTCTCAGACCTATGCTGAAGTGCTGGAAGGAGACAAGAAGGGTAGTCTGGGGGACAGCTGTCTATCTTTGACCTGTTGAGCACAATTCCATGCACACTGATCTGAGAGCACAACCTTTAAACAAAGCAGAGAACAACCACCTGTTCATGCAGGTTTCAGATCAAGGGGCATTGTAGGTATTCTAATTTAGCTTCTATTTTAAAAGTACTGTTCCATGCTCAGAACTGCCTAGCATTCGTAACTCCCAGTCAGGCTCTTCACTTCAACCAAAACTGCATGAAGATTTATCTATGTATAACTATATCATTTTTCCGCAAATCCAGCAGAATAAGTATTGCAACATTTTTAATACTCTCAGTAACACTGTAGCTTGTGCTTCACAGGCAAAAAAATCAATAAAGCAGCCTAAGAGAAGGTCTATTCTTCATGTGACAACCAAAAATTATTGCTTGCTTATGAAAAAGCAGCTTACAGCTGTGAACAAGAAGGTTACAGCTGTGAACAACAGGTTTATGCAACATATTTATGCTTACAGCTGTGAACAACAGGTTTATGCGACATATTTCTCTTTCTCCCTCACCCCATTTACAGGATCTGCAACAAGACCTTATAAAACTATTCAGTTTGCACACTTTCAGACTAAGTCTCATCTGATACAATTATTCTTTTAGAAACAGAGCTGCTGTACCAATCTCACAGTGCACCATCTTGTCAGTGACCTAGCTCCCCTATTTCCTCCTTCCCTCTATTTGTTCAAGTCTACATCATCTTACATTTCTGATAGCTGTAAGCATTTAAATGCCCAATTCCAAAACGAACTTAACAGTATAATGAACCTCAGCCAAAATAAATTAGTCCATCATCTCTAAGCTGCCACTGTCTGCAAAGAACACAATACAGCATTTGTTATTTCAACAGGCCTTCAGAACTGCTATAAATGCAATTAATGTTTGTGCCTGTGTCACCAACTGCTCAGTTTACTACTGAAAGAAGAAAGATTAAATAGCATTTTCTATTGACAAGCAAAGCCTTGAAGTCATAGGCTATCTCCCAACAACTCAGTATGTTTATTGCCAGTAAACAAAGATGACAGCAATGTGCACACTTCCCATCTGCTTATCTACACATCCTTCTTTCAAGGATTTTGAATGAACATCAGTAATGAAAGCCATCCCAAGTAATGGTGGGTAGGGTATAGCAGGATGCTCTGTCTGGAATGGGATAAACCAACTTGAACAATGCCTTATTTTGCAAAGCTATTTGTAGTGAACTAAAAGGGGGTGTCATGCTGTTTTTATTGTTGGATTATGCTAAAACCAGTTTGACTCGTCAACACCTACGTTTAACATCCTGACAGTGAGGTGAAGATGTGGAGATATAGTAAAGTATCCTTATCTAAAAATGCTAAGGTAACACAGTTGGCAATACAGGTAAGTAATATCAATCATTACTTAGTTTTTTAGGGGGTTTCTTTGCTAGCTTTAATGGAATTGCTTTAATATAATTGCTTTGACATAGGACACTATACTATCCTAATTTTAGCTTATATATATTGCATAGTACATAATCCCAATTAAAATCTTTGTCCAATCATTTATTATAGTAAATAATTAATTTTGATATTAATATATCTGGTTTGCCTCCCTTAATCCTGTCAGACAAAGCTGTACAAAAATTCAATCAAAACCCTATACTTTCTTAGACCTAAATTTATTAGTTAGGCACTAAGATTGGATCCAGCCACACCAGGCACCTCTTTGAAAGGAGTTTAGAAGGCAAGTGGGTCCCTCATGATTCAATGGGAACTTTTCTAATAAACTTTGTCTGAAGGTCTCACTCCACCTGTGACAGTAGATTAAGATTGCAGCAAAGTATCATAAAAAGCACTAACAAACCTTACATTAGCCAATAGTAATAGAACACCACAAAGGTATTATGCATCTTGTTCCAAGAATACCAAAATCAAGTTTTTACCTCTAAATGCAAACTTAGATTGAGAAACAAAGTCAGTCAGCTTCCCGCTTGCCATTATTTTGGCTAGTTTGTTTGATTTATGCTTAATGTGTACAATTAATATTCAATTATAGTCTTTGCAGTTCAGTTTGAATATACAGACAAATGGAGCACAATTAAGCTTGCCTACAACATGTGCTCAGCACGGCTTGTTATGTTATTAGAAGTTTAAAATCTTATTACAATAGCAATAATTTCATATTCTGCATATGCAACCTGAGGTATCTTTACAAATCTAGTCTGATTTTCTTTGCATATGCAAGCTTGTTTCACTGGGTTGCTTTAAATACAAAGTATACTAAATTCAAGGAAGCAAATGCATACACTGTGCTGACAGGCAATAAAGTATTGTATTTTTAAAACGTTATTTCTTACAGAATGACAGTGCTTTTTAATTGACCAGCAAGAGGTCACGAAGTCTTTGTTCAGTCCAAACATGCCACATCAGTGAGAATTTCACAAAAAATTCACAGCAAGAGATTAATATATTTCCAATACATATTCATAAGAAAATATTCTCCTAACTTTGCCAAAATACTCAACAATACTTTTAAAAATACTAAGCAGTATGGGAAATCTGAGATTTTTTTTCCATTATTTAGCTAACAGGTGGCAAGTTCATAAATAAAATTAATCAGCACTTTAAATGCACCATCTCCTGCATTAAAACTCTGTTGTCTTTTCTCAGGTAATATTTATTCTGATCTTAAAACCAGCTTTCACAAAAATATAAAATATTCTTCTAAAGCATATTCAAAGATGTTTAGTGAACAAGGAGCGCATCTTCAGTTTTCATGGTCATTTTTCTAATATGCTTTGCCTATTGTTCCCTGTCATGAGGTAAAGCCACACAAGAAAACAACTGCTCCTACAAGAAACAAGCCCAAAACATTAACTCCAAAGGTGTTTTCCTGTTTTATCAGCTATCAGTATACTAATAGCACACAAAAATTTTTAACACACCAAAATTTGAATGCCTGTGGTAACAAGCAAATACATACAGAAGGTGACAGATTAACGTATCAATGACAAAACATGTAAAAAAACAAAACAAAACAAACAAAAACAAAAACAAAACAACCTAAAAAAAAAACAGTTAGAGAAGCAAAGGTAACATTTGCTTAAAGCTTTCACTTGGAAAACTAGTCCCAGTATCCACAATTCAGCCCATGAACTTTTGTGTAAGAAAAGCGTAATGGTCCTGGCCTGATCTGCTTGCATGACACACAGGGACTAAGTGGATAGCTGCTAATATGAGGATTATCCCTTTTCCATTCTGAAATTTTAAAATTGTGATTTCTAACTTCTCCACAACAGAACGAAGTAATCACTGTACTTATTGAAGGAAAAAAACAACCTGGGGCTGCTGTCAGAAAATGAATGAACACCGCACTTAGGTGGAAGCCTCAACACCACAGTAACATGCCAAGCAGGTGAGTTACCAGAGAAGTAATCAAATCGAAGACTTGCCCAGAAGCAACAGCTCTGTTTAGGTTCCATTATAAGTTTGGAAAAAGTTGGTCCATATTTGCAAAATATTTCAGTTTCACCATGTGATACATTTCAGCAAAAGTCTATTTCATCAGAAAATTTCCAAGCAATTTAAACAGTTGCCCAATCATTTGGCACAGATTATGTCCCAAGATAATGGCATCTGAGGGTCCTTAGTCCATTCAGAGCCACCATTATCTGCACATCTTTATATACACAGAAGACCTGGGAAAACTAACAATAATGGGTCAGGAAGGCCTTTTGCACGAGGCATGTGAAAAATATCACCAATTTACCTTTATTCCCTTACAGATCTCCAAAATTCTTTTAAAGTGATGCAATAAAAAATGATAACACAAAAATTAGGACTAAGTGATATTTTCACAAGTATGCTACATCATACTAGATTTATTTTTTGTTAACTGTACTGAAAACCGAATACTGTCTAATAGCTCAGATCATGGAACAAGAGATTGTTCCAAGTTACTTACTAGAGCACAGGTCTTCCTGAATTGGTTCTTTGATTTCTCTCAGAAATAATTAAATAGGAATTCCCAATGCCTCTCTGTACATGGAGAAAAGTAATTCAAAGTAAAAAGCAGGATTGCTTGCTACTGGTCTCATTCTGCCTGGTTGGATTTTGGTTACAATGCATTATGAAGAAGTTAGGGAATTATAAATGCATTATAAAGAACTTAGAAAATTATAAAAAAAGGTTCAATGAAAAAAATAACATTTTAATGTTAAGAAAATATTCTAACAAACCACCAAAGAAGAAAACAAAAAAAGTATTTTTCTATTAAAAGGCATTTTTGTTAAAAATACTGTTATGGGGAAAAACCCCTCAACAACCTCTAGAGAATATATAAGATAGTTACAGCCTCACTCACAAGTTAAAAAAAAATACTGAAGTGCAAACAAAAGCAAAAATTACAACAGCAGCAAAGTAGTCTGTGAAATTACTTCATTTTCTTAAATGTTGCAAGATTGAGACAGTGGGGAGGGGATGCTGGAAACTGACACTTTTGAAGCTGGCTACCTTTCTTTCCCAAAGGCAATTCCTGCTGTCATCATTGAAGAGCAATTTGTGAAAACATGAACCAGCACTTTTCTCTACAGTACTGCAAGGCCAAAGAATAGCATCAACAGCTGCAAAACAGATGTTGTTTTACAGATGCTGTCAAGAACCACACAGGCTACTGCTAAGCTATCAGAAGTCATACACGTTTCATGCTGCAGTCTGTGAGCGCTGAAAGAGTGGCATGGCAGGCACCAGCTGTATCACAATGGAAAAGGTTTCAAACCAGTTACTCTTCTCCCAGCCTTCTGCGGCAGGCAGGGATTTCCCAGATACATTCCGGTTTTAGCAGCTTAACTGTGGAATAGATAGAACAGAGAACTGCCAAGATCCACCACCTGCAATAGTCTGGTACTTGTGAAAGATGTAAGACTTTGGCGAAGTTCTTTATCCTCTCCCACTACAAACGCACTCGGGAGTTCTGAGTCTATAAAAATATTATCTTCTAAGCAAATATCAACACAATAGTTTAAACAAGCAGAGTTATTTACTGGTAGAAATTAAAAAGTTCTCTTCCTCGCAGAAGAAAAAGCATTTCTCACAGCAAACATTTCTGTGAGGAAAACGAGTCATAACTCTTTCCAATTGCCATTGGCTATTAGTATAAATTGCCCTGCTTGCATTTGTTCAGGAAGCTTTTTCCAAGACCTGGATTTTAAAAAGTTAAACTCTTTTGGACTTCCTTCTGAATTCTGTCATCTCCATTTTCTTGCACTCTTATCTCACTTCCCCAGTCTGGCAACTTCCCTCCTCAGAGCTTAGTAAAACTAAGTAACTGTCATATGTGTTTACATTACGTGCTGAGCTCAAAAAGGCTGAAGAGCCAGAATTTTCCTGAGAACCAGAAGCAGAAGATTATGTAGCAGGGGAAAGGGCAGTGACATCACTAAGTCTCCTCTAGGCAAGTAGGAGGTAAACAGAAAGAGGAAGAGCCATTCTAAAGGCAAGAATTGTCAAAACAATGTTTAAAAATATGCTTTCACCTTCACGGTTTATTTTGTGGCTCTTCTCTTTCAACACAGATTGCATTTAGTAACATAAAAAAGAGACAAAATAAAAAAAAAAAAAAAAGAGGGGAATGAATGATCCTGATTCCTGCCCAAGAATCAGAACATCTTAAGAAAAAAATCTGTTACTCAAATCTCAAAGACCATTTAATGAAATTTGCAGTCACTTAAGTGAGACATAATTCCACAGAACAGTATCACCAACTTCTTCATTCTATCATTCTAGGTGAAATGGTGCCTCCAGTTTCAACTCCAGAATATCCCAATTGAAACTACTACTCTTTGCCAAACTTCTAAATATCTACCCTTAGAGATTAAAAGTATATTTTTACACTCTGCCATACACACTAAAGTACCATGGAGAATATAATAATCATAACCCCAACCAGCTCTTCTGCCTACAAAAAGAGAAACCACAAGAAGATACACTACGCTCTACACAGTGTGATGTTTGTAAGATGTCACTCCTGCTTCTCCTAATTTCATAGGTAATTTGGCTTCTTTCCCTCCCAGTTTTCATCATCCAACCAAAGCAAAGGGTAACGTGGTCTTGGACAAAAAAAACTGCAATAATAGGCTAAATGATAAAACATTTATTACCTTGATTCCTGTAACATTTTTTTTCTAGGAAAAATATGGGAGAAAACAAATCTAGTAAATCTGAGACAGAGACATCAAAAAAGTGAAAACATCTGGATGAAGAGACTACTCCTATGCCAGCTACACTATCTGAACAGAATCTGGAAACACATGCTTCAACAAATTAGCTCTTTGCAGAAATAACTGTCAGCATGTAAACAGAATAACAGTTAAGTCAGAGTGAATCAGCAAACTCTTCCAAACAGCCAAGAGCAATAGATGTCAGTGTCTCCTCTGGACTCTCCAGAAATGCTTTCTTCAGCCCACCCTTGTTTTTCAGCTTCAGTTAAGAAACTGCACTTCAAAAGGTCAGATCTAATGCAAATTTCACTGTACAAATTCCCTCCCCAAGATGCGGGGGTTTCTAGGGGATTTTGGTGTCATTGCCCTCCTTCCTCCTTGTCTTTGGAAAAGTGCCTAAAATCTTGTAAAGGAAACCAAGCTAGCTCTTTACAGTGACACATCAGTTACAGGAACCCAGGACACCAATACTATCTGCAACCCTGCCTTAAAAAACACCCTCTCCCCCAGAAAACCAAGCAAACAAACAAACAAAACCCCCCAAAGATCCTCCCAAAAATCCAGCCAGAGAAAAAACCAACACAAACCCACAACACTTCTCTCCCTGCTCTCCAACTTAGATCCCATGCAGTTTCAACAAGGCTATGACTAGGTACTTTCATAAACCCTTAGAGAGTCAGGGCCTGGTCACATAAAATGAGACAACATAACAAAGACCATCTGAGACACACCAGCAACAATCTAAGATATTAAAGCAACTGCCACAGAAATATTTCCAATAAAATAATTTTTGTAGAAGTTTGATTAAATAGTGAAGTCAAGACTATGTAAATGCATTCACAAGCCTATCAAATAATGATTCAGATTGCTGTATCAATATATAAATATTTATATCAATATATAAATACTGTAATTATATAGAAAGATATTATAACATACAAATACTGCAGCTTCTTGTTACTCTTTAGGAGAAGAGCTGAAGTATTTTTGCAAAAGAATACATTCTTTTTTTAAATCCTATGTAAATGCTTCATATTGCTGAATAATTTATGACAGCGATGTTGATGCTTTATCTTTACAATTCAGGAAAATGTACTTGCTTGATAGTTTATTTAATGTTTCCTTAAACACCAATGGCCTGTGAGTTCTCCACTTGTTCCCTATCTGAAACACCAGACAGCTTTTGCAAAGATACTGCACTACATGCTTTGCCAAGATCATGTTATCTCTATAAACGCAGATTGTCTGAAAAAAATGCAGGCCAGAAAACCCAGGGCTCTGAAAGTAAACAAAGGTTTTTCATAAAATATACCATTAGCAGAGATTCTGCAGAAGTCTAATAGAAGTGACAAGGAGAAAGAACCATTAAGTTAAGAAAAACATTTTCACAATGTAACATCTGTTTTCTCTTGAACTTTAAAAAAAAAGAACACACTGGTGCTTCCCCAAACACTGCAGAAGAGTCAAATTATCATCCTGTATATCCAGTATTTACAGAACTCTGTTTTGAGTATGATTAAGCATTCAATTCTACACTTCACTTTCAAAGAGAAAGAAAATATTCCAACTGCCTATATTCACACTGACTTCCTCCCAAGCTCTGAAACAAGAATGATACTTTTCTTTATGATTTTTGAAATTATATCCTGAAACACCATAAAAAAATTGCAGAATGCAAGACCATGAAAATTGTGCCCCAACAGACTAAAAAGATCTAGCAGACCACCTGACAGACTGAAAAAATATAAAAACATAAGGGAAAAACAAGGAACTGTTTAAATTAGATATACAATAACTTTAGAATAAACACCTGTTTTTTCTCTCAGAAACAGAAGTATCAAACTGTTTCTTCATTCTATCATTCTAGGTGAAATGGTGCCTCCAGTTTCAACTCCAGAATATCCCAATTGATATTGGCACAAGAAGTATCAAACTACTGAAAAAACAGTTAAGAACGAAGTAGATTCTGTATTTCCTAATTTTAAAACATGAAGAGTAGATGCACTGTTACAAAATAGGTTACTGAACTTGATGAAGGGAGGAAGAAAGCCCAAAACTGGTTTATGATATACAGAAGATTAGACAGGAAGATACAGTGTTCTTTTCTGGATTTTAAAATATGCTGTTACAGATTGTGCTATTATCAGTTCCTTTATGACAAGGCATTATAAAAGAAAGATTAACCATTTTATAACACAATACTTAACAAGAGGTTAAGTTGTTGATAAAGATGTTACATTTCAAAATTCCCACTAAACAATTATTAAACTCCTCCTAAAATTCTTTCTGATGACACAAAACTAGGAAGACAAAAAAACCTGAAAACACTCAGATCTCTAGTACATAAGTCAAACTCCAATACAAGTTTTGCCTCTGAGCCCTGAAGTCTAGGGCTTTCACCCACATTTCAATGTCCTTAGCATTGTGGAAACTCACCCAAACATTCTGCAGATGTATGTACTCAGAAACATGAACCAAGGCACCTCAGCTCTCCCTGCAGGTTCCCACTCCAACTCAGCAATCATACTGTTCTAATCTTGTCCAAAAGCGTTATTTTCCCACCCACTCATGGATAGGAAATTTGAATCTACCTAAGGTGGTATGTTCAAAATCTAAGATACTCCATTCTCTAAATTACAGAAGAACTCTTTCCTAGATCATCTCAGACTTACAAGCCACTCGTTTTTTTACAGAACTTTTTAGCATATTTGGCATAGTTATTTGCAGCTTCACATCAACTCTGATGAAATAAGAATTTCATATCTCTCCACAGGTTTTAAAACCAGCTGTTGCACAGAAGCGTGGACCCCAAGAACCATTCCCCAAGGTAAAGCAGAGTGACTGATGCAAAGTTGACAAAAGCAACCTGTGACCATGATGCAATGAAAAATCCAGCTAGGCCCCCCAAAAATGCCTGTAAAAGATGCTGCAGACTCTTTGACACTTTTTACTTCATTGAATCTAAATAATTAGATAAACTGGAGCTAAGTCTAGAATACAAGTTCAACACAGTTTATTACAGCCAAGTTTGTTCATGATTTGCAAATTATAATAAATTCTTACTTCAATACTGAGTAAGAATCGTCTCCATCTGAATTAGTTGCTCTAAGAGGTAAAGTTTTGTACATACATTTACAAGACAAATTGCTGAAGCCCACTGAAGAGAACTCCAAGTTTAAAACCAACCAATGATCTCTCCTCTCTTTATGCATGCTTTGAGCTCCTGAAGATATTCCTAAACAAAGTACAAATCAATAAATACTAGTAGTTCTTAGATCTGCTAAATATAAGATCCAATTAGCAAACAAAAGCCAATTAAAAATACTAGGCAGGAATTAATAATGTCAGAGTAGACCACTTCTGACCAGGCATTCCAGCACTTATAAATGGACATCCCTCTCCCCTCTATGGCCCTTCAGAGTTTGCCACAACTACCACTAACCAGTCTTTTAAATATTCTTTTTTCCTTTAATTGATACTTAGTAAGGACTTTGATTACTAGTAGGTGCAATAGTCCACCCACATCTAGGCCCAAACTACACATAACAATATTTGTCTACCAATCCACCAAATAAGAAGTGAATTAAGTTTCATGTCATTAAAGTAAATACAGTCACAAGGCACTACATCCCCTTGACTGGCACACAGACAAAAAGAAAATATAAAAAACCCCCAGCCAAATAACAGAAGAAGTCAGACCAAGTCCTTAATTTTTTAGATTCCTGATAGCACTCTTTAATATCAAATTTGGTTAAAAACAAACCCCCACAATGTGGCTCTGCTACAAAAGAGAACATGCTTTATCAGTGACAAACTTAGCATCAGTGTCACCAGAATCCTTCCCCTATTCTAGACAATTTCTAAGCATCTGAACAACTCTGTAACAACGCATAACAATCCTAATATTTTCAGTTTCCACTGCAGTTTAATACTAGGATGCTTTACATAAGACATTGTCACTTCTCCTACTTTCTGAATCTAATGCAAAGGTCTAAATAATTCCCCTAGGCTTACACTGTAAACCACTGGTAAACCAGATATAAACAAAATTCTTTGTTTCATGAAATGTGTAAGAGAAAACAAACCATTGCAAAGAAAGCTTTATCTCATTCTTTTCATATAAGGTAAATAGTTGAAAAATCTCTTAATTGCTGGAACATTGCAAAAAAAAATCTATTTTAAATTTCAACTCTATCTTAACTTTCCCCACACTGCTCCTCATGTTTCATTTTTCAGTTTTCGTATATATATATTTTAAAGAAAACCACAGGGAGAGGAAAGAGAAAAACTCTTCTGAACACACAGAGTTCAACACAAAGAGCATGAATATGGAAGAAACCAAGGAAACAAAAGCACTGAGGGAAAGACATAAATGCAATATGTAACACCTCTCAAAGTAACACAGCACAATGATTCTGCACAGTGTTTATTAATTCCATTCTCAATTCCCCTTTAGAGTTAAGAAAAGATATATAACTAGGTAACAGACGTGACACTACTGTGAACAACTCTATCAAAAGCTGTAGGTGTATACTGTTCAGTAGGTCATAGGTGACCAAGATATTCCTCATGCCTACAACAGAAAAAAAATTCTTAGCAACTATGATTCTGCTCCACTCTAAATGTCATTACTATGTAGGATGTAATGCCCTCTACATTATTTCAAGCAGTAAATAAAACAAACTCACAAAAACACACTCTTGTTATTCTTCCATGATCTCAGGAATGATAAGTTTTCATTTACCAGATGCTTCCCCTTTCCACCTCCTTGAAAACTGTTCACAAAGATCCCCATTTAACACTTGGCCTAACTAGCACAAGCACTGTGTGTCACCACAACCACATCGAGGATAGTGTGTAGGCTGGGATAGGTTCTGCCCATCACTTAAGACAGGCAGTCAGAATCGCAAGAAGGGTCTGGCGGGTTGACCTTGGCTGGAGGCCAGGTGCCCACTAAGCCACTCTACCACTCCCCTTTTCAGCTGGACATGCGAGAAAAAAGATGGAAAACAACTCAAAGGTTGAGATAAGGCAGTGTAGTAAAGCAAAAGCGAAAGTTCATGCACACATAAGCAAAGACAAAAAACCCTATTCTTCGCTTCCCATCAGCAAGCAATGTTCAGCCACCTCCCATGAAGCAGGGCTGCAATACATGTCACAGTTGCTCTGGAAGGCAAACGCTGTAAATAACCAGTACTCTCCCTTCCTCCTCCTTTCCTTAGCTTTTATAACTGAGCTGATGTGGTGTGGAATATCCCTTTGGTCAGTTTGGGTCAGCTGCCCTGGTTATGTCCTCTGCTAAGATTTGCCCAACCCCAGGCTGCTATGTGGAATGATGGAGAGACAGCAGTGATGCTGCGCAGAGCTGCTCAGCAGCAGCCAAAACACTGCTGTGTCACCAGCACCTTTGTAGGTACCAATGCAAAGCACAGCACTGTGTGGGAAAATGAACTCCATCTCAGCCAGACCCAATACAAAGAGGTGCAGCAGGGGTTATGGCAGTTGAATGACTCTTGTACTTGACAAAGGATTTTAGAAACCTAGCATCTAAAATCAAAATAATATAAGAAGTGGTTTTTGAGCTTCTTCCTTCCAGACAAAGGCTTTTATGGACAGTAAGACAGGGTAATGGAAGGATGCCTTCTCTGATGAAGGATCCTATCTCATCTGCTACGGAAACTTACTAAAACCAAATTATCTCCCTCTCAGACTATGTCCTGTTAAGCAGTGTAAGCACAGCAGCTGAGTCACACTGAAGATTTGATGTCATTTTATGTGTTGTACATGATCTCCACCAGAAAGAAAAAAAAGAGTGGGCAATAGGTAAAACAAGCAAGTCCCTGAGGGAAAAAATGAGAGTGAACTGAGACGGAAAGGCCAGTATGACCTGTGTTAGAAACTGACACAGCACAACATCAGATTTTCCAGAAAAATCTGAGTACCCCTTACTCTAAAACCTGGAGGTTGCTTGAATAGTCTGCAAGTTTAGAATACATTACTAGGTCAAAAGTACAGATTAGTATGCCAAGTCTGAGCCCAACCTTCTCTCAAAAGCAGCTGCTTCTCCTCTTTCCCTATTCCCACTCCCCCTCTCAACTAAGCTTTTCTCATAATGAGGAATTCTCCTCTCCTCTCTCACCTACAGTTGGGTACAAAACCATGTTCCAGTTTTAGCTGAAATAACCTCAGTGATTTAGCACTTACTCCACTTCCTTTAGAACTAATTAAAGACTAATTTAACTTGTTTAAAACTAATTAAAAGTTCATGATTCAAAGGCAGGCATAACCATAAGGTGAAATCAATGCTTGTGCACAAGCAGATGAAAAAAAACAGGAGGTTGGAGCCTGTTTCATCTTGGTAGGCATAGGAAAAGAGTAACTATGAACATGATCAAACATCTGGCTACCATTTGATTCCTAGAAAAATCCATAAAGAGGAAGAAAATAAAGGCATCCTGCAAAAATTAAGTTCTTCCAGAGCATTATGTTTTAAACTTTGGAAACAAATGAACACAAATAAAAACCTGGGAAAAAGTTCCAACTACTCATGAGAAGCAAGTATCTTCTCATGGATTCTCTCCTCTGCTGGGAGGCAGTGACAGGTATCAGAAGAGAGGTATACTCCATGACCAGAAGATTAAGTAAAAGCATGAGTCTCAGTTCAGGTGGAAGATGAAAATAGCACAGAGTCACATGTTGAAAAGCAAGAAAACCAAGAAAAGCACAGATATTTCTCCCACTTAATCTCCTGCACTTCTACCTCATTGTCTGCTTCTACCTCTAAGTACAAAAGAGTACTTAGGACTCTTCCAGTCTCCTATCTCTGGCAAATATGGTCTCTCCTCATCAGGTCCCAGACTGATCCAACTAAACCAATTCTATGTCACTCCCCATCAAGGACACTCCTTTTCCAGGTTTTGTTGGTTCTGTTGAGTATGCCCAGCACTGTCAGTCTAACAAATCAGATACTGCAAAGCATACGGTAAAGAACACTTCCCATTACTAAGGTTAAGAAATTCATTGACTTCTCATTCACATAGTGTCCAGATAACAGCTTCGTATGAGGAAAAATAAGAAGCAGGAATAGCTGAATTTAAAAATATACCACAGGTATATTTTATTTTTCAGTGCATTCTGTTGCCCTCCCTACCCCCACAATACTTCTTAAGTCACTCACAAAGCAGCATTTACTTATTCTCTCAATGGGTTGGAAAAAGGTGATGGAGGAGGAGACCACATTGCTGAGTGTCAGGGGGTGGTGATTAGGAACTTTAAGCTGAACATTTCAATCATTATTCCCTCTTTAAACATGGGAAGGAAATGTCAGAGGTAGCCCATGCCTTTGAGCACTACAACTGCAGCCTTCAAGCATATTAAAAGCGCCACCCTCTTACTGCTGACATCTTCAGGCGCTTTTTTTTTAATGAAGGTAGAACAAATGAAACCTACAAAAATCATATTTTAAACTGACATAAAATTAAAGGAAGCAGGATAAATACCTTAATGGAGAAAAAAAACCAAAAAACACCAAAGACTACAGGAGTTAATTTGGGAAAGAAAATAAAAAGGAGAAGGTTTAAGGAGTCTTAAGGAGTCTTGAGCAAGACCAAGTTAAAACAGATGTTCAAATCACTGTTTTAATTTTCCCATTGTGGGGTAAGAAAAAACAGCAGTAGAAGTGACTGCTTTTTATTAATGAACTTCAGCTACCATGGCACAAGAGGCCATGTACCAGCTGGACCAGGGCACTCATTGTTCCCTGTATTTGGCACTGGTGAAGCCACACCTTGAATCCTGTGGTCAGTACTGGCCCGCTTATGACAAGGACATTGAGGTGCTGGAGCATGTCCAGAGAAGGGCAAAAGAACTGGTGAAGGGTCTGGAGCATAAATTCTTGTAGGGAGCAGCTGAGGGAGCTCAGATTGTTCAGCCTGGGGAAAAGGAGGCTCAGGGGTGACCTTACCAGTCTCTATAGCTGCTATGAGAAAGGAGGTTGTTGCAAGGCATTATTCAGGCCCTCTCCCAAGTAACAAGTGACAGGACAAAGAGAAATGACTCAGGTTGTGCAGAGAGAGGTTCAGGCTGGATATAATGAAAAAAAATTCTTCACTGAAAGAGTGGTTAAGCATTGGAATAGGCTGCTCAGGAAATGGTGGATTCACCATCCCTGGAGGAGCTCCAAGGAGTAGACACAGCACTTTAGACTATGGTTTTAGTGAGCATGATGGTGTTCAGTCAAAGGCTGGACTTACCTTGGAGGTATTTTCCCACCTTTATGATTCTATGTCTCTATAGCATGCTTTGCATGCTCCTAATGACAAAGTCAGTCTCAACTACTGTTTAGTCTCAACTACTGGCAAATGTTACCTGTTGCAGAGCCAACTAGCCTTACTGAAAGAAACCAGAACAGTAAATACTTGTAACAACACAATCCTCCAAAGAACAAAGCAGCTCTAATCCTGTGGTTCCAGCTGGATACCCCCTAATCTGTCACTCTCAAACGGAATGGAGAGAGAACAAAGTAGCTATGTTATTTCCTTACCACCTGGAATATACAATGAATGAAATAAATAACTATAATGAATGAAATAAATAACTGTAAACGTCTGGCTTTCTCACAAGTACATACAAAATCAAATTGAAGGAGTAGTTCTGTATAGTCCACAAACTCACAGGTATGGATTTCACACCTGTTCAAATTTTTCTTGGGGAGTCTGTGCAAACATCTTGCTTAGATAA